TAAGGCCCCGTTCGGGAGGGATTAAAAGCCAATTAAAATTGAAAATATGGCCGTTATTGGGTCTCACTCGTCTAATAAAAGTCAACAATAACGGCTATATTTTCAATTTTAATCCGATTTTAATCTCTCCCATACAAGGCCTAACTATGTTATCCGTGATCAGATTTATTGTTTGGGATCAGACCTATGTTATATGTGACTAACCGTGACTAAGTTTGTCTTAAATATGATTGTTTGTGACTGTATGTAATCAAATCACTAGTCTATGTTATATATGACTAACTGTAACTAAATTTGTTTTCAGTGTGATTGTCCGTGACCGTCTAATTTGTGACTATATGTAACTAAGTCACTAACATGTATTATTTGTGATTAACTATGATCAAAATTTTTTTTAGTATGACTAAATGGGACCAAATTTGTTTGGCCGTGAACAAGTAAATCTTAATCGTGACGATATGTAATCAAATCACAATCAGTCACAATTAACATGATTGGTCACAACTAGGGATGACAAATAGCTCGTCGGCTCGGGCTCGGCCTAGAAAAAGCCCGAGCAAGGCTGGCTCGTGAGTCTAAAAATCTTTTTTTTTAAAAAAAAACTTGCCCGCCACTTCTTTTTAAAATTTTTTTTCTTTTAATTTTAGTTGTAATTTTTTTATATGTTAATATTAAGTTATTATTTATAATACGTATAAATTGCACAAATTTTAAATTTTTTTAAAAAAATTTAGATTTGTCATGAATTTCAAAAAAAAAAAAAAATTGAGTTGGCTTGTGCCCGGTCCGACCCGCTAAGGCTCGAGCCAAAAGCTCGGGTTGAGCTTAAATTTTTTGATGAAGCTTTTGCTTGACTCGGACAAAAAAAAGCTCGACGTATTTTTACTAGAGTCGAGCCAGAACAAAAGTTTCAGCTCGCGGCTCGATTGGCTCGTTGACACCCCTAGTCACAACCAATTACAATAAACACATATTTGATCACAAATGATCACCACAAACAAATCTGTACACACCGTAAACCAGCACCACAATTCACCACTACCACCACCTCCAATGCACCACCGATACCATCTTCAACTCAAAACCACAACCATAAGTACAACCTTCACCTCAAATCCATAACAAGAATCACTACCACTATCACTTCCACCAACAACTTCAACAAATCCCAACCACCACCACATGTAGATCGAGCTGTGCTAGCAACTGCAAGTAGCGACGCGTGGTGGAATAGAGCAACCACCACCTAAGCCACCTAACTCCACCACCAACTTGACCACCTCAACCTCCTCTACAAACCAAGATCAGCATTTCGACCTAATACCGTCCCAAACGCACCAGAAAATTAGGCCAAAAATCAATAGTTGTGGATTGTTTTTTAGACAGCACTTCGGCGTTGATCATGCTGGTACCACCACACCAACCACCCGTACTCATCAATGGGCATCTATTCATGGTCTTATATCATCAAACAACACACCTAATCCAAATTTACAAACATGTTCTTTTCACCCAGCTAACACGAACATTTCAGTCACAATTTTCGATGCTAACAGTTAGCTACACGGTCACGAACCACCTTCTCCAACATCCCCACACCATGCCGCATCTATTGCCACCATGAGCTTTCATCAATTTGATTAGAATATGAAACATCGAATACGGACAGATCGTGCACAGTGCCGAAAGTAGAGAAGGTAGAGAGGGATGGGGGTGTGGAGGTGTTTCCCTTACGATTCATTTTAAATTTTTTAAAAAAAATTTAGATTTGTCATGAATTAAAAAAAAAAAAAAATTGAGTTGGCTCATACTCGGCCCGACCCGCTAAGGCTCGAGCCAAAAGCTCGGGTTGAGCTTAAATTTTTTGACCAAACTTTTGCTTGACTCGGACAACAAAAAGCTCGACGTATTTTTACTAGAGCCGAGCCAGAACAAAAGTTTCGGCTCGCGGCTCGACTGGCTCGTTGACACCCCTAGTCACAATCAGTTACAATAAACACATATTTGATTACAAAGGGTCGCCACAAACAAATATGTACACACCGTAAACCAGCACCACAATTCACCACTACCACCACCTCCAATGCACCACCGCTACCATCTTCAACTCAAAACCACAACCATAAGTACTACATTCACCTCAAATCCACGACAAGAATCACTAACATTATCACTTCCACCAAAAACTTCAACAAATCCCAACCACCACCACCACCACCACATGTAGATCGCGCTGCTCGCAACTGCAACTAGCGACGAGTGGTGGAGTAGAGCAACCACCACCTAAGCCGCCTAACTCCACCACCAACTTGACCACCTCAACCTCCTCTACAAACCAAGACCAACATTTCGACCTAATACCGTACCAAGCGCACCAGAAAATTAAGCAAAAAATCAATAGTTGTGGATTGTTTTTTAGACAACACTTCGGCGATGCTCATGCTGGTACCACGACACCAACCATCCGTACTCATCAATGGGCATCTATTCATGGTCTTATATCATCAAACAACACACCCAATCCAAATTTACAAACATGTTCTTCTCACCCAGCTAACACGAACATTTCAATCACAATTTTCGGTGCTAACAGTTAGCCACACGGTCACAAACCACCTTCTCCAACATCCCCACACCATGCCGCATCGATTGCCACCATGAGCTTTCATCAATTTCATTAGAATATGAAACATCAATTACGGCCATATCATGCACAGTGCCGAAAGTAGAGAAGGTAGAGAGGGATGGGGATGTGGAGGTGTTTCCCTTACGATTCCTTTCGGGATAAATTTAAAATTCTATCTTTTCTACTAAAATAAAACTGAAGGCAATTTCCTTCCTTCACTATTATCCTCCAATTAAAAACGTAAAGGAGACCCATCTCTTACAATTTAAATATCTAACATTTAATTATTTCACCAAATGATATAAAGGTTCAAATCTTTTGGTGGTACTAACATTCACAAACTATATTTTGAAAGGGGATATGCTATGTGTACATAATTTATGTACATAGGTGTCCATACCCCTCACATGCTATGTACATAAATTATGTACACCAAGAATTTTCCTTTTGAGATAAGAATGTAATAAAGAAGTTAAAGAACACAAATATAATAATGAGCAAAGGTTATGAACTTTCATTATTAGTGATCGTCAATTCACGTTGCCCATGCTTGGGCTCGAGCTTGAAGGTGCTCTACACTATCGTCTCATGTGTATTTGGTTGGGACTACAAAAGATTCAATAGTCTCACCAAAATAGTCCTCGACTATCATATGAAGTTCACAAATTTATTATATGGGTTTCAACAAATTTTGAAACCCCGATAATTATTTTTGGTTGCTAATATAATATGTCGAATTACTTCGTAATCATGTAAGAATGACATGTTTGTCACATAGCTCATTAACAAAACAACTATCGTCTAAACATCGCAAGTTTAGGCAAAATATTGTAAATCGATGCGGAAGCGTGTATTTTATTATAAATTTGAAAAATATAAGGTGATATGAAGGGTTTTTGGTTTGAAATTCCATTGTGTTTTAATGCAGACAGTTTGTTGAAACATGAATATCACATGATTTAACGGCCACCTTTTCCAAACAAACACTTTCATCTCATACAAGGGTATGAAGACATCATACGTACACACATCTCTATGTATATATATGATCCTAAATAAAGAAAATACTCTGTGAAATCGTCATCTTCCAAAAATAATTTATCAACATTTGATCACCAAAATATTGGTGATCCTCGTGATCTTTCATGTCATAGTTAACAGGTACATTCGTACGTACTCTCTACTTTAGTTTCTTCTCTTATGTAATGAATTCCTATAGCTTGCATTTTCTGCATTTAACGGATATATATTTATATATAATTACTTCTATTTGAAGAGGAAAGAGCTTTCATATAGTTAATTTTGTGAATCGACATCAATCAATCAATCGAAGTCATTCTGTGCTGAAATAAAGAAGATAAATTTTCGCGCTTTAATAGCTAGCATGCATACTAGTGACGCTAATTCTTTATTCTTCTGGTGTTTTTTTCACGAAGACGATAAGCGAATAAGTACTACAGCGCTGCAGATTTCTACGACAGTTTGGCAAATGGCGTCGATCTTTTGGCCGTCGCAGCTAAATGGGGAGAATAACAAGAAAATGCGGGGAAAATCAGTATCGGTAAAGCTCATTTTTGTACTATGCATTGCAAGCTTTCTCTCGGGATCACTTTTTACGTCGCAGACTAGGTCATCGCGACTTTCAGATCATCATGTCATCTCTACCATTAACCCCGCTCATTTGAAAAATATCGAAAAGTCTACACAAGAGTGTGATAACAAGAAAAGAGTAAGCCTATAAAATAATGTGATCAACAATTTTTGTTACTTTAATTTATATATGTTCCTAATATAATGATTGATTTTCCATCAGAAACTGGTTGAAAAAAATTCGGTAGATGTAATGGAGGAAGTGATCAAGACCCACGATGCCGTCCAGTAAGATCACAACTTTCTTGTCATTTTATCTCACAATTTAATTATTTTTTGGGGTTTCTGAACAAATAAAATTGTATCAGATCACTTGACAAAACTATGTCAACATTGGAGATGGAACTGGCTGCATCTCGGGCAAGCCAAATGGGTGGACAAAGAGCTTCAAATCATAGTCGTCTGCAGAAGGCCTTCGTCGTTATAGGAATTAATACCGCTTTCAGTAGCAGGAAACGAAGAGACTCTCTTCGAGAAACATGGATGCCTAAAGGTTTCATTATTATTTTTCTCAATTTCATTTAAAAACTTGATACATGCACAATGTTTATAAATTGGTGGTACAAAGACTTGAAGACGTCTCCTCTCGTTTAAAAGTTTAAGCCGTTAGAGCAGGTTGACAGAGTACTTATACATAATCTATATATAATTTTAAATGATGCAGGAGATAAATTAGAAAAATTGGAGAAAGAGAAAGGAATTGTGATACGATTTGTGATAGGACACAGCTCAAAACCAGGGGGAGTTCTTGATAGAGCGATCGACGCAGAAAATGCCGAACATGGAGATTTCTTTCGACTCAACCATGTTGAAGGCTACCACGAGCTTTCTACCAAAACTCGATTGTATTTCTCAACGGCTGTCTCAATCTGGGACGCGGAATTCTACGTTAAGGTGGACGATGATGTCCATCTAAATTTGGGTACGCTGGTGAGCACGCTTTCTAAGTACAGCACAAAACCCCGGATTTACATTGGATGCATGAAGTCCGGACCAGTTCTCGCTCAGAAGTGAGTTGTACCTACACACTAAATTATTTATCTATAACACGAAAATCTTACTCGATAATTTTGTTGGCAGAGGAGTTAGGTATCATGAGCCAGAGTACTGGAAATTCGGGGAAGAAGGGAACAAATACTTCAGGCATGCAACGGGCCAAATTTATGCAATTTCGAAGGATCTAGCCACTTATATATCAGTCAACTCGTAAGTATATATTTTATTTAGGACACGGTCCAAAATCCTTCGTTCAAATTCATAGTAACGAATGATAACACGTGTTCGTACAGGGGCATCCTGCACAGATATGCGAATGAGGATGTTTCGATGGGTTCGTGGTTCATTGGCTTGGAAGTACAACACGTGGATGAACGGTCCATGTGTTGTGGAACCCCTCCGGGTATGTCCAAATTAAATAAAATCTTCGGTCTATATATGATTATTTCTTGTGTTTACTATGTATTTATTAGTTAATTATTCGAATTTCTCAATAATTTTCCTTGTCTACAGATTGTGAATGGAAGAAGCAATCGGGGAACATGTGCGTGGCATCATTTGATTGGCCGTGCAGTGGAATATGCAAATCAGTTGAGAGGATGAAAGCCGTGCACAATGCGTGTAGAGAAAAAGAGGGAGCTTTGTGGGATAATAATTTGCATCTTTAATTAATGATATGAAGATATGGGAATTTTTGGGTGTTAAAATTTTCCCCAAGGCCATTAATGAAAAAAAGGAGAGAAATTTCAATAATTAATTATGATATTTCATTCACTAGAAAGAAATAAGAATTAATTTTAATGTTAAGCGCTTGTGATTATTTTCCGATTGTTCGACACTATTGATCATATGACTATCAAGCTAGTAAGGACTGTCTAATTAGAGTTTGTGCTATTCTTGTTAAGGTTATATCAATTCGTAATATATACTGATATTAAGACATGAATCGATATGTGATGAGCGTAAAGCTACTCATTCGAGCTTCTTTGTTAATTGAGTGAAATAAACTCTTAACTTTAAATCGCAACTCCTTTTAGTTAACAATTTGTATAGCGGTGAAATTACATAAAATGTTCTCACATTTTTCTTCTAGAATTTTTATTTTTATTTATTTACCCTCTCTCCCTCTATTTATTCATTTCCTTCCCAACCCCCCACTCACCCCAAATTCATTTTTCACATACCATAAATCGGTCCCTCACCATCCTCTATGCCTTAAACCTCCTCCTCTCTTTTTTTTTGTCTAGAAATTGAGCAAGCAGGCTTTCTATTCCAAAGATAATGGCCCACTCTACCCTATGAGTAATACACATGACCCTGTTTGATAAAAGATTGAAATCTAAATTTTAATTTAAATTAAAATAATTAATTAATTTTAATAATATATTTTTATGAGATCCACAACTTTTAATCATATATTTCACCATTTTTATTAAAATATATTAAAAATATGATTTTAATCCAAACAAAACGAGAACTTGGTTATTTTTGGACAATTGTCCAATCAAACCTTTTAAAACGTTTGAAAAAAATTCAAATCAAATTATATCATTTCAATTTCTAACAGATTTCAAGCCAGGTTTTTTACCAACTATATAAAAGTAACTCATTATTCAAAAAAGTGGAAACATAAATATATTTCTAAGATCATTAATAAAGGTGGCAACAGTAAAATAAATATGTAAGAAAATATTATCATAAATTATTATTAATTTCTAAAGAGTGAATGGGAACCAATCATCAAGTGAATTAGTTGCATAAAATGAAGTAATAAATCACAAATCTTGCGGTACAAGTTTTTGAAATTGAATAAATGGTATGGTTTCATTAAAAATCGAAACCATAGAGTAATTGAATCTAAATAGTTTGGTTCGTTTAAAACGATACATTAATAAATAGGTCGACGTAGATCCAATCCAATTATTTCGAAAAAATGATTTCAGTTCAATTTTACATTTTGTTTGTTTCTCATTTTCTATGCAAAAGTAGAAATAATATGACCGTTATTTTTGAAAAGTGACATTTTTCATTGAAAATATGTGAGGAACAAGTCAAATATTGCGGTTGGGTGGGGTCTGCTAATGGTTGGATTTCTTCTACAAATGAGGAAGTAATGAAAAATAAACAGGGGTTTAATGTTATTTTTGAGAGAGGCTTGGTGTACCTGGTCAGGGTGACAAACACCCTGACCGGCCCCTCACAATAGGGGGGCCCACATTTAAAAAATTTTTTTTTTATTCATGTGGGGTCAGTCATCATGTGAGAGTTTGTCAACTTTTTTGTACAAATAAACTTTTTCGTTATTTTTTCACCCTTACCTCGGCGCACCTCACCTTACCTCATCTCAGCCTACCTCACCTAAGTCAGATACTCCCTCTGGTCCTTCCTATAAGGTCATATCTTTAAATTTATACTTTCTATTGTATACTTTTGAGCTATCAATTTCACAAAATGAATTACCCATCTTAAAGAGTGTTACTTCATTATTCCGATTAGTTGCCGCCTATTCGAGAGGGACTCCCCGGGTGTTGACACTTAACGCATTGGAGTTACTCCAGGTTCAATGGCTCCCCCACTCATTGGCATCCGATTCCTGGGCTATTGCTTCTCAGATGGAGGAACTTTCCGAACGAGTTTACTTTTAAAGGTTAAAACGAAGTATGATATATTTTTGTAGGTCAAAATGATTCCTTGTAGTATTCAAATGCACACAAATAAACTAGTAACCTAAACTTGTTAGAAGGCTGTTAAATTTTGTTCTAACCTACTCAATTAAATAGAAAGAGGAATATAAGCTTGTAAAGAAAAAAGTCACTCACCCATCCTCTATAGTTTAGTTTGTGTATATGGGCTTCGAAGCCTTAATGAGGGTTCGTTTGATTCTCATTATTGTATAATGGGAATGAGAATGAAAAATATAGTCGTTATTGGACCTCACACAAGGTATAGAAATTTAAAATTAATGGCTTGATGTGATGAATAATGATCATATTTTTCATTTTTTATGGATAAAAAATGAGAAACAAACGGGGGCTAAAAACTAGAAATATAGCCGCCTTGAAAATTTTATTATTATTTTGTATTTCCTCCATAAGGGAAAGAAGGTGATTAGCTATTTGTTGGATTTGTCGAGTTGATTGAACTAATAATTGCACAACTCGACTATTTAATTTGTCTACTCGGTTGAACAACTCGAGGATTGGTCCAATTTGATGAGCTCAGCACTCTACCTAGTTGGAGTTAGTTATCTAAGTACTCGACCAACTTGGACAGCGTAGTTCTTCAAGTTACAACACTTCCATAACAAATATTGCACATTGTTAGAAGACAATTCCAGATGGTATATTACAACCTTGTTTTCTCGTATTTCTACTACTATCCTATCATAGAAAGTACCTGTAATTGAATTTTTACTTCATAAACGTTATTCATAGAGAGATTGGGTTGTTGGGGTTGGAGGTGAGGGGGCTGTCACGGTTGGGGGTGCGTTGCAGTAGATTGTATGGGTTGGAAAATGCCACATTTTTCTTTTTGCATTTTTTGGATTTATTAATTCATATAACTTTTTATTTTTATCTAGACATTGAGACTATTTTAGGGTTTGTTTGGCAAAGTTTTTTTTTTTTTTTCAAAATTTTAGCAGATTTTGATAAAAGTTGACCGAATATGTGGTTGAAAAAATTATGAATCTCATGAAATGTGTAATTAAAATTGAAGTTGATAAACTTTTAGCAAAATATCATGAAACGGGCACTTAATTTGTAAATCTTTAAGTAAACATAAGTACTCATTCCACTTTCCTTTTTTCATTATTCATTGTTTGGATTTATTTGTTAGGGATTTTTCGCTTATCTAATTTCATTCTTGTAAATTTTATTACTTATTATTCTTTATTTTTCAACCATTCATTCAAAATTTTGTAATATTCGGATTTTCCTAAGACAGAGAAAGTTCACGTTCACACCTATATTGTACGTATTCGTTGTATTGAATAGTTAAGGCGAAGATGTTTGACGGAACGGAATTATTAATGAAGCGTGCAAATGAATCAACTTCCTCAAGGTCTTCTCTACATGCTACATGTGCAGTGTGCTGCGTCGTCTCCAACTGTTATATTGAATGGAAACCCCCCCTTTTTGTGAAATTCTTGTTAATAATGCAGCTTAAATATTTGCCGTCCAACAAATTTTGACAATCCCAAGAAGGTTTCGCAGCTGTTTTTATTTCTCAACATCGCTTAACTAACAATCAAATGTCTTCCAATATTCTTAATTATTTCCTCGGGATCGTTTCTGCATTTAATAGTACAGAAACATTTAGGAACAAGAAACTAAACCGAGTACGAAGCAAGTGGATTGCACCATCAACAACGTATGAAAGCTACATTTATTTTAATTTCGCTGACAATTACAAGGTATTAAATGATATATTCATTTAAATGCGAAGTCACGTTACTCTTTTAATTAAACATATGAAGTGTAGCTACCTAGATGAGATAAAACCCTTGGCCAATATATTGTAAACTTGTAGCTTTTTTGTAAGTTAATATTTTAAACATTTTTAATTAACAAGGCTGGGTTGAATTAAAATCTGGGTTATGGGTGTACTGCAACGGGCATTGAACGTTGCAAAAGGCATTGAACGTTGCAAAACACGCTCTCGACAACGATCAATACATGTTGTTAAAGTAAGCTTTAGTAATGGATATTGACCATTGCTAAAAGACGAGGTTTTAACAACTCGCAATGAATTAACGTTGAAAAGTAAGAGTTTCAGCAATGGCCTTTGCACAGTATCAAAGCTTATTGCATTTAACAACATACCTTGAACATTGCTAAAGGAGGATGTTTTAACAATGTTCATGGACCGTTGCAGAAAATACGAGATGTGTAAACCTTTTATAACAATCGACGAACCTTGCAAAAGAAAATATTAGCAACCATTAAAATGCTGTCGTCAAATCTCATTTGTGTCGATGCAGGTCAACACACGTTTACTGATACTTTACGATAAATCTCTTTTAGTAACACATAATGAATGATTATTGCATTTTACATGTTGCAAAAGATCATTTTTTCCTGTAGTTGGAGAATTACTAATGGTTCAGTCAAGATTTCTCGAGAATGGTAATAAACGGACTCTTAGTTGAAAATTGTGAAAATGGTTGGTTCTATAGAAAAAAATGGAATTAGTCTGGACCTAAATCGATTGGTTGTCGTTCGGTTCAATTCTTTTATGTAAATTGTGTAAACTTTAAATTTTGGTTTAAATTATTTTGTTCTACTTTCATGGTTTCGCAACAAAACTATTGATTACTCTGCCATCGTTTGATTTCTATTATTTTCAAAATACATTTTTCTCTTTTTTCTTTTCAACTACACATTTTTTAAAAAATATAATATTACACGTAAACTTAAATCTTTTTCTTATTTTTCAATCACACATTCTCCATCAATCTGTTATTCCAAAATGCATTCTCAAGAACAAATGGGGCTCAAACATGCATATACGGTAATTCATATTTTCGTGTAAACTATGATTTATCATAAACAAAATAATTTCACTATCAAATTGAAGTATGGTTATGTAGGTAACACCAATGATTGGATTTGGTTCTCGATCTTAAAATTCAATATCAAGCCAATTTTAATTTGAATCAAACCAAACCGACTAGTTTGATTATGATTTGATTCGTGTAGTCATGAATAAAAATGTCCAATTCTAATTATCATGCATCGCCTCCTCGATGTATGCACGCTTTGATACTCATAAAGAACGATGCTATCTATTACTACGGTGCTACAACGCTGATTTACATGACATTAAGTTATATGTCTGATTAAAAGTAAAGAATATAAAATTCATTTAATTATTGTGACATCATTACTCTTCAATAAAATTATAGAGGAAATTCCCCTAAAATATAATATTTACTTTGGTTTAGGGAGGCCGGTTCATTTTACAGCTTACACCATGCAGATTGTACTCTCCGTAGACGCGCGTGGAAGCAGTAGTATGGCTAGGTTGAATCGGAGTAATTTCTTTAACTTGCCTTTTACGTTAGCTTTAAGCTTTCCCGCCGGCGGCGTCACCGGTCGTCAACTTCCTCCCATCACAATATATCGTTGACAGTTGACACTCATCAGATATATATACAAACCTTTTTACGTAGAAATGATTTCTCATACATACTTGCCGTAGACGATCCATCTACAGAGAGAGAGAGATTATTGGTTTTATTAAAATTGGTGGATGGGTTCATCGAGTCACAGTGGCGTTCCTCCGGGGTTCCGGTTTCACCCGACAGACGAAGAGCTTCTTCACTATTACTTGAAGAAAAAAATTTCATTTGAAAAGTTTGAGATGGAGGTGATAAGAGAGGTGGATTTGAATAAGATCGAACCCTGGGATCTGCAAGGTAATTTCACTTAATTTTAATCAATAACGTTATAGTAAATGTTCCATATGATGTCTAAAAAAATTGAGTCTCGTAATTAAGTTCATGTTTGGTACAAATTAAAATCTGATTTTGATGTACGAAAAACAAACTTCCGAGGATGAACCTAATTTTTTCGTCAAATATATTCAACAACAAAAAGTTAGTTTTTAATTATAAAATTTGGTATTAGAAGTGAAATTTCATTACATGATGGGAAAAATCGAACTAAAATTGTCTTATTAGAAGTGAAATTTGTCTTATATTGTTGAATGGACATAAACATAAGCTTAAGATTTTAAGTACCACGATCTGCATACGTAGTACTCAACAACTTACTTTATTCGTGCAAAATTACGTTAATATTTCTAAACTACATGGACTATAATTGATTTATGTCTCTTGTTCAATAGTTTCCATTAAATATAGCGTGTGTGAAGGAGCTTTTTTCAAAAAAATCACTTATTTTTGCTTTGCTATGAACCCATTGTCCAATGATGTGTATTATAAAATTCTAATAGATAATGAAATGTAGTGCATATACCCCTACAGATAATGAAAATGTTGAAAATATCCTTGAACATGTTGTATGGGCAATCACATGACATGGGCAATTTCGTCTTTTGAATGTATAGAGGAAGGGTCAAAATGGAATCAAATTTTATGAGGAATATAGATGTCACACTATGTCATGTTGGATCATACTCCATCATAGTAAAGCTTAGTTTACAGTGGTTCTCACCAGAACACTCACAAAGGAGGGTGGATGGGTAAATTTTTTTTATTTTTTATTGAGGTGGGTACCGCGTGGGACCCACCCTTTGTGAGTGTTCGGGGGATTAAGTGAGAACCTCCCTTGTACACTTAGCTTTACTCTACTACACCAACATCGCTTATGACATCTTTGTTGCCAAAATGTCCACGTGATAAAATTTCATTAGACCGTTTAAAAAATAGGCAGTTATGTCATCAAATCATTTTTTTTACATATCATCTTTTGTAAACAAAGATGTTAAAAACATGTGGCAAGAAAACTTAATTCATGTTAGAAATGGTATCAAGCTTCCTCAATTTTATTTTATTTTATTTTTCTGATTTTGAAAATTCAAACTTCCAAATTTCCAAATATGCTGATTTTTAGGCACATAAAAAACAACTCCTCCATCAATTATTCAACTAAATATAAAAATATATACTATTAAATAATCAAGATTATTAATTTCTTGATTCACTAGCTACATATCCCCATTTTTTGTTCCTTTGACGGAAGTCACACATTCGTATTTTAAAAATAAATAAATTTTACGGTCGAATTACCAAAATAGAATAAGCTAGAAATTCAAGCTCTAACCGATTACGCATATATCACGTCTAATCTTTGAGTTTACTTTATTCAACTTTTTGCTTTTGATATTATACTTGTTCTTCTAACTCTAAATTGATGATAAAACTGTTTCGACATAGAATTATAAATAAACTAACGGAACGAAAAACAATTTTTTTCTTACTTGCATGGCGTGCACACAGAGATGTGCAAGATTGGATCGACTCCGCAGAATGAGTGGTATTTTTTCAGCCACAAAGACAGAAAATATCCAACAGGTTCAAGGACAAATAGAGCAACAAATGCTGGATTTTGGAAGGCTACAGGGAGGGACAAATGCTTAAGGAACAGCTTCAAGAAGATTGGTATGAGAAAAACCCTTGTTTTTTACCGCGGCCGAGCTCCCCATGGCCAAAAGACTGACTGGATTATGCACGAGTACAGGCTCGAAGACAGTGATGATTCTCAAGGGAATCCCAGTGTGAGTAATTCTTTCACAAAAACATATGGTACTATTTGCTAGGTTGCGCACACACAAAAAGGGAAAACAAAACATGATTTGAAACGACACGTGAAAATGCTATTTCTAAAATAAGTATGACAATATGGAAATTTTGTATCAAAACTTATAATGTTTTTATGAATTAAATGTTTATAATTTCAAGGGTTTCTCTCGCTTTTGGCATAGCGGGCCCCTAGTGGGATGCTCACACGACGGGCTATTAGCTCAGTGGCAGAGCGCGCCCCAAATAATTGCGTCGTTGTGCCTGGGCTGTGAGGGCTCTCAACCACATGGATAGTTCAATGTGTTCATCAGCACTTGACCTTGAGATGTGGATTATCCAAGGCACATTAACATGGCGTACTATTCCTGTTCGAACCAGGGTTTGAAACCAAACCTCTCCTCAGGAGGATAAATGGGTTAATTCAAACTCTAATCACTTGTTAAATTTTTTAAATAAACATTAAAGGCTGCTATATGTAAATTTCTAATTATAGCATAACATATAAGTCTATAACAATGTGCAATTCTGAAATATTTACAAGAGTTCCCGAAGAGTTTCGATTTTAAAACATATTTTAGAACTTCATTCGATTTTAATAACATAATTTAGAACTTCAGTGCAACCTGACTATGTGTTACACATTTGAGTCTCCAAATCATTCATATATGCAAGAATTAAAACTAAGAATGTTTATGCAAATGCATTCAGGAGGATGGATGGGTGGTTTGTAGGGTTTTCAAGAAGAAGAATCTATTCAAAGTTGGAAATGAAGGAGGAAGTGGGTTGAGTTCAGATCAGCTCAATACTCCAGCAGCCACCCAATCTCGTGCATTCTTCACACAGAGGGAAAGGGAAAATCAATATCTACTGCTTCAACAGCAGGCTCATGGACTAAACTATTCTCACATTCCAGTGGCACTGCCTCAATACCCACAACTAGAAGCCCAGGACTTTATACCAACCCACAAGCCATTGGGCTATGATCAGTTTTCAGATCAGTCACCAATTATGGTGAAGCAATTCATGTCCAACACTAGAGATTGTGAAAGTGGCAGCACTGATCAGAATCTTGGTTATGGATCCGGTATGGAGGCAGTCGGGAAGTGCCAACCGGAGAATCTGAACGAATGGGGTATGATGGATCGACTTGTGACTTGTCAACTCGGACATGACGACTCATCTAAAGGGGTGAGGTTTGAGGATGCAAATGAACCGTCTATGAACCAGATCAATCAACTATCTCTAAGAAGCAAGATGGATTTCTGGGGTTATGAAAAGTAGTAGTAACTCATCAGTAACTCTTATTTTTATTTTTTGTAAAAGGAAATATTGAATTAAAGTGAATGAATTACATTTACTGATTTACATATTAATGGCATTAAAAGGGGGGTGTAAACTAAATATGCTATAATAATAACAGTATTTTATTTTACCATTTTGAGTCATTGGATATCTTATATGTGACAGTAAAATAGTTATTGATTGAAGGATCGATGTATAGTGCTTCGTAGACGGTATTATTGTAAATTAAGATAGATATTATTATTTAATATTTCAGTCTAAAGATAGTGCAAAAGTATAACATAATGCAGAGGCTGGGGAAGGGTTTAAGCACATAAGAAAATATATAGTAAATGTCATTCTTTTGAATTTAAAAAAAAAAAAAATACTATCCACCTTGTTACGACTCATAAATAGAAGCACCACGTGGCACCATATTTGGACGGTGGGACTAGCCCAATTGAACCAGGATGTATATTCCGAGGCCCAACCATTCCGAGGCCCTTTATTCCCAAGCCCTTATTCCGAGGCCATGTTGTCAACCGAGGCCCAACCATTCCGAGGCCCTTTATTCCCAGGCCCTTATTCCGAGGCCATGTTGTCAACCGAGGCCCAACCATTTCGAGGCCCTTTATTCTCAGGCCCTTATTCCGAGGCCATGTTGGTAGCAGAGGCATATTATTCGAAGGCTATCACTGTTAGCCAAAGCCCAAGCTTATTCAAAGGCCTTGACTTATTCCAAGGCTACGTTGTCAATGGAGGCCCAAGCATTATCCGAGGCTCAAGGCACAACTACGGATCTGAGGCTCTTTAGCAGCTAGTCCCACGTGAAGAGATTTGCTCATGATGAAGATCTTTATTTGAATGATTGATGTGACTTTTGTGTAAAGTGTGTCTGTGTCTTGTTTTATCATTGTAAGAGCATTTAATGCTTTGTAAGGTTAGGAGAGTCAACTTGATGGCTAGGACTTGATATCTTGGCCGAGGAGATGAGGCCACGTGTAAATTGATCCAAAAGTCACCATTTGAGTTGTAACACTATAAATACCCCCACCATGTAACACAAAAGGGGTTAATGAAACTTCAAATACTTAAAGCAATATGATTTTCTCCTCTCTCTCGTTTAACAGCGTATTTTCTGCTACAAATCTTGTTATTTATCGATTGGTTTCTTATACAATCGTGTTACATTTATCTTGCCGGAAGCCCGAACGGTGACGTCTCGTGTCGTTGAGCTCCTCCCACGTCCAGATTTTAGAGCTATCATGACCGTCGATCGGCATTAACATGTTGGATTAAGCTTACGCATACACGAGTGGGCCCGACATCTGTTGGCAACATTTTTTGCGGTCAACGGATTGGCGCCGTCTGTGGGAAACCACACTATAACCACGAGCATACCCCGTGGAAAAAGCTATCTGAAAATATTTTGGGCATCCCCTTTGAAAAAGGATTTGTTCCTAAAAAGGAATAAGAGGAAGTTCCCAAAGTAGGAAAATATTCACGGTTCTAAGTTTCAAAGGGTATGAGTTCAGAAGAGGAAACTCCCCCGGGCGAACTAGGGAGGAAGTCCAAAAGAAAGAGAAGTCGGAGTTGACATTTCCTCCAATTATGCTTTTGGCCGACCCTCCGAGGCTCCATTTAACATGGAGGACAACTTTCCTCCAGAGTATGAACCAGATGCGAGACCTCAAAGGTCCGTTAGAAAGTTTTGGAAGTTTGAGAAGATATTTTGGACATCCCCCTTGAAAAAAGATTTGTTCCTGAAAAAGAACAAGAGGAAACCCCCAAAGTTATAGTGGCTTTGATTCACTTTGAATAGGAAGACCTCCTGAAAGTGTCTCATCCTTTGGCACTTCGTGATAAAGTGCCTCATCCTTCGTTAGTTCACGTCAAAGTACCTCATCTTTTAGCACTTCAGGACAAAGTGCCTCATCCTTCAACACTTCATCAACGAGTGCCTCATCCTTCGGCACTTCATCAACAAGTGCCTCATCCTTCGTCACTTCAGGTCAAAGTGCCTCATCCTAAGTCACTTCAGGACAAAGTGCCTTATCCTTCGTCACTTCAGGTCAAAGTGTCTCATCCTTCAGCACTTCATCAACAAGTGCCTCATCCTTCGTCACTTCAGGTCAAAGTGCCTCATCCTTAGCACTTCGGGACAAAGTGCCTCATCCTTCGTCACTTCAGGTCAAAGTGCCTCATCCTTAGCACTTCGGGACAAAGTGCCTCATCCTTCGTCACTTCAGGTCAAAGTGCCTCATCCTTAGCACTTCGGGACAAAGTGCCTCATCCTTCGTCACTTCAGGTCAAAGTGCCTCATCCTTAGCACTTCGGGACAAAGTGCCTCATCCTTCGTCACTTCAGGTCAAAGTGCCTCATCCTTAGCACTTCGGGACAAAGTGCCTCATCCTTCGTCACTTCAGGTCAAAGTGCCTCATCCTTAGCACTTCGGGACAAAGTGCCTCATCCTTCGTCACTTCAGGTCAAAGTGCCTCATCCTTTGGCACTTCAGGACAAAGTGCCTCATCCTTCAGCACTTCATCAACAAGTGCCTCATCCTTTGGCACTTCAGGACAAAGTGCCTCATCCTTCAGCACTTCATCAACGAGTGCCTCATCCTTTGGCACTTCATCAACAAGTGCCTTATCCTTCGTCACTTCAGGTCAAAGTGCCTCATCCTTCGTCACTTCAGGTCAAAGTGCCTCATCCTTAGCGGTTCAGGACAAAGTGCCTCATCCTTCAGCACTTCATCAACAAGTGCCTCATCTTTTGGCACTTCATCAACAAGTGCCTCATCCTTCGTCACTTCAGGTCAAAGTGCCTCATCCTTAGCACTTTGGGACAAAGTGCCACATCTTTCGTTACTTCAGGTCAAAGTGCCTCATCCATAGCACTTCGGAACGAAGTGCCTCTTCCTTCAGCACTTCATCAATGAGTGCATCATCCTTTGGCACTTCATCAACAA